GAAAATATGGGATACATTTTTTACAGTGAGAGTAATTAACCATTGGAACAATTTCCCAAAGGTCGTGGTGGATTCTCCAGCACTGGCAATTTTTAAATCAATATTGGATATTTTGCTAAAATACATGCTCTAGGGATTTATTCTGGGAAAGAGCTATATGGCTCGTGTTATACAGGAGGTCAGAATAGATTATTACAATGATCCCTTCTGGCCTTAGAATCTGTGAACCTATAAAAATCAAATTATCTTAACCAACTAGTAATTCAAATCAGCAAAACATACAGCATCCCATTCATACCCAAGAGCCTTCCCCAAAAGCCCAAACAGATGGACTTTTCAGTATGCCAATAAGGTCAACAGATTTGGGGTATTTCAGAATAAATGGGGGTCTTCAATCTCATTTCATTTGTTGCAGGTCATCTTTAAACCAGTGTGCCAAGGCTGGGGAACAGGAAGCCTAGGGACTACCGTACTGATGGAGATCAAAAGAATATTATAGAGTCCTACCAAAATCTCAAGAAAACGGGCTGTGTAGGAACAACATTCTCTCTGAAAGCCCTCTGAAAATCCTCTGGTTGCATTAGCTTCTGAGGATAGATCAACAAAATCCCTTGTCCCAACAGGACAGATGTGCCCTATCTTAGGAGGAAATGGTTGGTCCATGATATAGGTATAACGTCCAATAGTCTGCAAAAACAACAAGGAGTTCGGTGGCACCTTAAAGACTAACAGATTTATTTGGGCATAAGCTTTCGTGGATAAAAAACCCACTTCTTCAGATGCATGGAGTGAAAATTACAGATAAGGCATAAATATACTGGCACATGAAGAGAAGGGAGTTGCCTTACAAGTGGAGAACCAGTGTTGACAAGGCCAATTCAGTCAGGGTGGATGTGTTCCGCTCCCAATAATTGATGAGGAGGTGTCAATAACAAGAGATGGAAAATGTCTTTTGTAGTGAGCCACCCACTCCCAGTCCCTATTCAAACCCAAATTAATGGTGTTAAGTTTGCAAATGAATTGTAGCTCTGCAGTTTCTCTTTGAAGTCTGTTTTTGAAGATTTTTTTTTTTGAAGGATGGCTACTTTTAAATCGGTTATTGAATGTTCAGGGAGATTGAAGTGTTCTCCGACTGGCTTTTGTATGTTACCATTCCTGATGTCTGATTTGTGTCCATTTATTCTTTTACATAGAGACTATCCAGTTTGGCCAATGTACGTGGCAGAGGGGCATTGCTGGCACATGATGGCATATATCACATTAGTAGATGTGTAGGTAAATGAGCCCCTGATGGTGTGGCTGATGGTGTGGTTGGGTGTCGCTTCCATCTCCCTCCTACGCTTATGGCTGGATTCAGACAAAAAGGGCACACTGCCTCCTTGCCAAGGTCCTTTTGGTTCCAGGGGCACTGAATACCCAGCTGTAGATAACTGCACCAAGATTAGTCCAACAGTGATATTCAAACAAGTTTTAGTAATACACACAAAATCAGAGTCCTCATCCTTTACTACATGAGAATTGGCCAGCATTTTATTTATCACCAACTATTCCTTAATCATAATGAACTAAAGAAAGCAGATGAAATTCTGGCCCCATCAAAATCACCTTCCTTTTCTCCAGGCCGCCACAACTATACCAGAACTTGGCAGAGCTGTCCCACCCTCTTTGGTTGAAAGTAGCTATTTGGCAATTAAATAAGGATCTACAGGGCAGACTGGAAAAGTTATCACAAAATATGAACCTGTCCCAAAGCATAGCCTCTTGCCACTAACAAACTTTTTTAACTTCAAGTTGTCTTCCATCCCAAAGTTCTAATCTCTTCAACAACACAAATCTTGTATTATTATTATTATTTTTTAATAATTCAGTATGTATTCCCATCCAATGCAGCTGCTTTCCATCAGATCCTGTAGGAAATTAGACATTTTATATTTAAATCCCTATGTCACTAGGATCTGAACCTTTTCAGGGGGAGGGAGGGCTTTACCCCAACTTCCTGCATTATCTTTTAATTTAATGATTTCTTCATGGCTCTAGGCTTCCATGATAAATGGTATTTACCTTCATGTGTGAGATAAAGATGTGAACACAAATAATTCTAAAGGTAGGCTGTGGGTTTGAGTAAATATACCAATTAATAGTTAAACTCTGAAAGCCACATTGCTCCCTTGCATCCTGAGCTGAGGGATTTCTTTCTTGATAACTTGGCTTACATAAGAGTGATACTCACGGAGGCAAGTCTTCGTTGTAAGATATTGATCATGGAAGCTATTATCTATAATAATAGGGCCAGTTATAATAGTAATATTAATTTCATCTTAATTGCTCATTGTGGACTGTCATAGTATCTAAATGCCTCAGAAAGGGCAGGTTTTTTCAGCAAACAGTATTTTAGTATTGTGCCATCCTTTTATTGCACAATTGCTAAACAAGTTAAAAGGAAATAGAAAAAAATCACTGTCTTCATCTTCAAAGACTTCATTATAATTAACGCACATGGAGAGAGATTCTTTGCTACTCAAACAATGAGGAGAATATTTTGTTTGATATCCTTGTAACAGCACCAGGGACAGAATATTGTGACAAGAAGGTTCCATTAGGGCTTAACAGATGGAATTGGCCATTTGGGAAGGGGACAGCTGGGGAATGGTCAGTAGGAAACTGACAACTGTGAGGAACGGATGGATGCTAGGCAGCTGCAAATGACAATTGGGAATGTTAGATATATGGGAACAACCGTTAGGAACTGGGCAGCTTGAGAGTGGGAAATGGGAACTAAGCAGTTAGGCATGACTGTGGGACTGTTGGAAGTGACAGTTAGGAATGGCAGGTGGGGCTGGGCGTTTTGGGAGTGAGATTTGAGAGTGATAGCTGGGAATAGCAGATGGAAAATGGACAGTTAGAAAGAAAGGGGAAAAAATGAAGAAAATGCAGTGACAACAGCAGGGAAGCCAGTGGGGAGGGAAAAATGTGAACCATCAGGAAGGAAGAGATAACAGAATTCATGGTAGAGTGTGTGTGAGGAGGACACTGTCCGTTACATACTAAAGAGCTGAAGGAAGGGAAAGGGCAATTGAAAAAAAAGTGAATTTCTAGTTAATTCTCTCACTGTGCTGAGAACATGGAAAAGTGAAAGTCTGCTGTTGTGCACTTTGTTTAATTATGCAAATACAATCTCTTTCCCTATTGAAAAATGATCTGTAAAGTAGTAAATTTTATTGAGAGTGAAAGAGGTTCAGGTACAAATACAGCTAATAAAGTAGTTATTTATATAACATGGTATGATGACTTGGGGTTCCAGCTATGAGTACCAGAATAGGATCATTATTTTCAGTCTTGTCCCATTAATAGTAGAAGGGATGGAATCTTGGGACTAGAAAATTCCATAGCTGTAGAAATCTGAGCAGCTAGACAGTGAAAATGGGGGTTATGAAGAAAGTGGGGCAGGGTCCCTTGGAAAAGAGAAGGGGAATAGACCATTAGGAAGGAATCAGGGTAAAGTGTGTGAGGGGAGTAGTGTCATGGACATGAAAGTGAGTGAAAGGAAAAGAACTGGTGGAGGATGTAGAGGAGGCTTTGCCTGGTTTGATTTGAGTCAGATTATAATATCCTTAACGTCTGCTGAGCTGCCTTTGTGCGTCAGATTTTCCTTCCCATTTTCATATTTCACCAGCCTCCACTGAAGAGAGAGGGAAAAAATAAAGAAAAACAACAGAAAACATGACAGGGAAAACATGGTTAAGGCAAGAAAAATGGCAGAGAAACCCCCCCTAAAAAGATGAGTGAGATCCTGGTTATTATCTCTGACCCGAGTGAATTTCTGCCTGACCATTTTTAAAAATAGAAAAATAAAATCTATTATTTTATTTTGTTGAATAAATTATTCTAAGACAACGGTTTGTTCTTTAGGGGGAGAGACAAACAGATTCAGGGGGTCAGCCAGGAGTACTGAGATATGTGTGTAAGATGGCATGAGGATGTGTGGTTGTAGCGCAAGAAACAGAAAAAGGAACTCAGGCAGCAGAATGACCCAATAATAAATAAATCAGCAATACTTTGCAATGCTGTAACAGTCACCATTTTAGGAAGAGGAGTTTTAGAAACATGAATTAACTTAACCTCACCATGCTCTTGTGAAGATAGGTGAGCATTTTATTGTACCCATTTTAATGACAAAGGAACTGAAGCACATCCGAAGAAGTGGGCTGTAGTCCACGAAAGCTTATGCTCTAATAAATTTGTTAGCCTCTAAGGTGCCACAAGTACTCCTGTTCTTTTAGCTCCAGGAAGGTATTTAGGCTCATGATTTCCATTGCAATTACTGAAAGTTAGGAGCCTAGCTAGCTACATCTGTGGATCCGGGCCCGAGGGGTGACTAGTTTAAGGTCACACAACAAGTTTAAACCAAGAAGAGAACTCAGGTCTGTGCCTCAGAGAATGGTTCTATTGCAAAATGTTACTCTCTAAAAATAGCAGCATGGATTTCCCGGTGTATGGTCTGTGACGGGTGCTATACCAAACATGCTTCCTTTCCAAGGAAATGGCTTTCTAACTGCCCAGCGCACACAGCCTAGAATCTGAGGGTCAAACTGAATTTCTTCCTCCTGGCCTATCCTCACAATCCGGGCTGTGCAAGACCGAGCGCCTCTCCCTGGCACGGGCGGGATCCTTAGTGAGTTCACCCGAGCTCCGTGCACCCCGCCGGACACGGTGGGACTGAGCAGGCGGGAGTTCGCCCAGTGAGGCTAGGGCGCCCCTCGTTTGCGGCAGACTGTGCGCACAGGGGATGGAGGGTCTGGGCCGGGGTCCGCAGCCTGAGCGCTTCGCCAGGAGACGCAGGGACCGGGCACCCAGCCTGGCTCCCTCCACCCCAACCTGGGGGCGCCGCCCGGGCCCAGCGGCCCCTGCCCCGGATGGCAAGGGCGGCGGCGCGACAGACACGGGTTGGGGGCGGGTGCGCGCGCTAGCGCCAGCGCCGCCCGCTGACCGGGCTCGCCCCCCCGCTCAGTCTTTGGGGCGCGCGCCCGCCTTCTCGCCACGGGGGAGGGTGGCACGGGCACGAGCGCCGCTGCGCGAGCCCTCAGCCCGTTCAGTGACAGCCCGCAGCCGAAGATGGTGGCGGCGGAGACCCGCACCCCTTTGCACCCGCACTCCCACTGCCGCGCCTGAGCCGGCAGCCCCGGTCCCGGCGCCCCCGCCTGGAGGAGCGGGCGGCAGCGCCCCCCCGCTATCGCCCGGGCGCGGAGCTCCCTGCCCTCGGCGGCACGGCGCCTCCCCGCCAGAAGGGTAATTGAATTAACTCGCCAGCAGGGAGCCGGGGCCGCCAGGGACCCCGCGGCCCCCGGACGCAGACACGAGCGGAGGCGGCGGCCGCCCCAAGCGGTGAGCCCGGCTGGCGGCGCCTGCGCCTGGCCTTGGCGGAGCCGGGCGGCTGGCAGCTGAGGGGGCTGCCGCTCCACGGCGCTCCGGCGGGACTGCGGGGGCCGCCCCCCCTTCCCGGCCGGTCCCTGCGCGCCGGGAGCCCGTCAGGAAAGAGCGGGGCGGCTCCGAGGCCGAAGGCCCCACCGGTGGGAGTGGAGCCCCCACCCCGGCGAGTGCGAACGGCCGCGCCAGCCCCTGGGGGCGACAGGGAGCAGCACAGGCCGGCGGCTGCCGCACCACAGCGTGGCGGCTGCGTCTCCCAGGCGTCCCGAGGCTGCTGGTGCGAGGGGAATTTTGGGGACGAGGAAAATAACCCAGCACCAAGCGCTGGGCCGCCTCGGCCCTGCCGGAGCAGCGCGGGCTGCGGGCGGGAGCCAGACAGGGCCAAGTCGGGCTTGTTCCTCCGTGTCAACGTCAGGAGTGGGGATGGTGCGGCCGCGGTGAGAGCCACACGCTGCTAACAGCCTGGCCTGGGGAGGCAAGGGGCTTTCTCCCTTCCGCTTCGGTAAGCTGCAAAAAAGATGGAGAAGAGATCTTTTCCCGAAGGGGACTGCTTGTCACTCTCCCGAGACTGATCTGCACTTATTGGAAAGGACCTGGGGAGTGACAGCAAAACTGCAACTAACTTGGAACAAATCGCGGCCAGTTTGTGGACAGCCCGCCGGACATATCTACTACAGCGTTAGATTGGAATATGTGGGCCTGCCTAGCTCCCAGTCTCCTGTTTGTCTTGCCCCGTTTGAAGGATGAGTAACTGAATCATCTGGGCCTGCCTGGTGGTTTCTTTAAACAGGCAGTGATTTCTCAAGGAATTTAAAAGCAACTGTCCTAGGAAAAGCCCCAAGTCAGAAAGTTAAAGGATCACTCTATTTATTGTTTTTAAAGTCCTAAGGACCCATCTCCTAAAGTGCTTAAAGAAAATTTGACAACATGGCTTCCCCACCACACCAGCAGTTACTGCATCACCACAGCACTGAGGTGAGCTGTGACTCCAGTGGAGACAGTAACAGTGTGATGGTCAGAATCAACCCCAAACAGCACCAGGGTTGCTCCTCTTCCAAGCATTGCAAGTACAGCATCTCCTCCAGCTGTAGCAGCTCTGGGGAGTCAGGAGGTGCCCGCAGAGCAACAGGAGGAGGGGGAAGCAGTGGTACAGGTTTGCGCAAGAAGAAGCTGCCGCAGCTTTTTGAGAGAGCCTCCTCCAAGTGGTGGAACCCCAAGTTCGACTCCAACAACCTGGAAGAGGCCTGTATGGAGAGATGCTTCCCGCAGACCCAGCGTAGGTTTCGCTATGCCATTTTCTACATAGGTGTGGCCTGTCTCCTCTGGGGTATATATTTTGGAATCCACATGAGAGAGAAACTGATTGTCTTCATGGTGCCAGCTCTGTGCTTCCTCTTAGTATGTGTAGCATTTTTTCTGTTCACTTTCACTAAGACCTATGCCCAGCATTATGTGTGGACCTCACTGATCCTCACCCTCCTGGTTTTTATTTTGACTCTGGCTCCACAGTTCCAAGTTTTGACACCTATCTCAGGAAGTGATGACACATCCAATCATACTCCCCCTGTGAGAGCCACAGACACTTGCCTTTCTCAAGTAGGCAGTTTTTCTATGTGTGTTGAAGTGCTCTTGTTGCTCTACACAGTAATGCACTTACCTTTGTATTTAAGCTTGTTTCTGGGACTATCCTACTCAGTCCTTTTTGAAACCTTCGGTTATCATTTCAGTGATGAGGACTGCTTCGCACCCCTTGGAGCCAGTGTAATTTACTGGGAACTGCTGAGTAAAGCCTTGCTTCACATCTGTATCCATGCTATCGGTATTCATTTATTTATCATGTCTGAAGTCAGATCAAGGAGCACATTCTTGAAAGTGGGGCAATCAATCATGCATGGAAAAGATTTGGAAGTGGAAAAAGCACTGAAAGAGAGGATGATTCATTCTGTGATGCCAAGAATAATAGCTGATGACTTAATGAAACAGGGGGATGACGAAAGTGAGAACTCTGTCAAACGTCATTCCACCTCAAGCCCCAAAAACAGGAAGAAAAAACCCTCCATACAGAAAACCCCCATTATATTCCGTCCTTTTAAAATGCAGCAGATTGAACAAGTGAGTATTTTGTTTGCGGATATTGTTGGCTTTACTAAAATGAGTGCAAACAAATCTGCCCATGCATTGGTGGGGCTTTTGAACGATCTGTTTGGCCGCTTTGACCGTCTGTGTGAGGACACCAAATGTGAGAAGATAAGTACTTTGGGAGACTGTTATTATTGTGTAGCAGGATGCCCAGAGCCCCGAGCGGATCATGCCTATTGCTGCATTGAGATGGGTTTGGGTATGATTAAAGCCATAGAGCAGTTTTGCCAAGAGAAAAAAGAAATGGTGAACATGAGAGTTGGAGTTCACACTGGGACAGTCCTTTGTGGCATTTTGGGGATGAGGAGGTTTAAGTTTGATGTGTGGTCCAATGATGTCAACTTGGCCAATCTAATGGAGCAGTTGGGAGTGGCTGGAAAGGTCCATATCTCGGAAGCTACTGCCAAATATTTGGATGACCGTTACGAAATGGAGGATGGAAAGGTGATTGAACGAGTTGGCCAGAGTGTGGTAGCTGACCAGTTAAAAGGTATGTGCTTTATTGTGTAATGAATCTTCAATGAGGGGGAATGTACAAGGTTTCCTGTTAACTGACCTGTGCTTTACTGACCTAGGCAAATTGAGTAGGTTTTACATTTACCAGTACAAGCTGGAACTCAGCAACTTAACAGAAACTGCAGAATGTGACACTTCAAGCAGGGATGACAGGTGTGAAAGAACTTCTAAAGAACTTGCAATATTTGCTGACTTCAAAATTCCTTAACTCCCATGTGGGAATGTCACATGATAGAAAGTAGACTGTTAAATGTCTTCATTATTCAACAAAATGTTCTTGTTTCAATACAGTGCGACATCTTCCTAATTAACTTCTTGTGCCATACATAAGGCATGTGTGTTTTGCAGGCTTATATATAAAAATTGTGAGGTTTTGGTACTGAAAGTTGGATTTTAACCACTTAAAAAAAAAGAAAATGACTTAACGCTAGTTATTTACCTATCTGAATAGGCATTTTGGTGGGAAATGACACATGGATTCATAGAAGAAAACTGAGCAGTGTGTATAGCTGGCAGTTTGATAGCAAGTTGTTACAGCTGTGGAGTTAAAACTTGGGGTTGGAAAAAACTACTCAAGATGGTTCACTGAGCTAATAAATGCTCTAATCTTTGTGGCTCTAAGAAAAGTTCAGGTACATGCAACAAATACAAACTTGGTATTAAGAGAGGAAAAATAGATCTCTCCAATATCTTTCATTGTTTATATGGATGTCTAATATTCACTTTTTCTTTGGTGATCATTTTAAATAGAAATCCTTGATTTTTTTTGGATAAAGAAAAGAATGCTTGAGAGTGCATGTATAAATGATTGAAGTATTGTGGATCTAACTGCATCTGTCTTTGAACATATATCTTTTCTGATATCTAAAACTCTGCCGCATTGTGGGTGCATACATCACAAGCATTTTCTGTTTCTACGATGTCATGCGAGTGGTGCAGATGCATTCTTTGCCCTGCAGAGTTTACTGTTGAAATTGGATAATAGATTAAATGAGAGCGGGAGTGGAATGTAGCAGAAAATAAAAAGTATTTGAGATTGTTTAGGTTAGGCATGATTTTTACAGCTTTTATATTTTTTCATTGTACATAAGAGCTTGTGGAGGACATGAAGGGGCAGAACTTGTGGGAACCATATGGAGAAAGAAGGTTGATTATTGGTGGTAACAAGGTGAGAAGTAAGGTCAGAAGGCTTATGGGTAGGCCAGTGAATATGGACATTAGGAGAGTAGTGCAAAACAATGGGGTAGTAGAGTGAGTGAGTGACAGTGAGTTGGTATAATAGATGAGCAGAGGGGCAAAGTCAAATCACATATGGCAGAGAGCTGTTATGGGGAAAATATTACCCATTTTCTTGATGAGAACATTGAGTTATTTGTCCTTACAGATGCGATGCTAAGGTAATGATGTGTGAAGTGTAGATGGAAGGGGTGCTAGAGAGAGAAATGGGTGGTAACACAGGTATTTGGAGGCTCTGAAGGCACAGTTGGAGGCATTGAAGCAGAATCAGGGCTTCTTATTTTACTCAGAGTTTGGGTCAGGGATTTTTATTTTACTTGATGCTGGTAACAAGTGTTGATACAATTGACAGCTGAGGATACTGAAATCTTTAAGCTTCATTTAAAGAGGGATAGGCAAGAATATACTTTTTAAAAAGTCAGATATTGGAAAAGCTGTCCCATTACTGACCTAGGTTGACTCTGGCCTTTCTGGTAATCGGAAAGGTTGTGGATAAACAACTCTGATTCCTTGATTGTTGTCAAACTGTGTACTGAGATAGGTATATTTCAAAGCTGTCCTTGTGTTGGTGGATGAGGATCTAGTAATGGATGAAGATTAAATCCCCTTGCTGGTCTTATTAGGTCTATCTGCTGCCTTCAGAATCATTGATCACAATGTGGTATTCATACACTTGTGCATGACAGCAAAAGTTGATGGTGCTACTGTTATGTGAATTTGTTATCTTCCAAGGAGATCACAAAGTGGAGTGTAGAGCAATTATTGCTCTACCTCGAGGTTGCTCTCTTGTGGTCTTCGAGGTTCCATTTTGTCTTCACATAAGTATAGAAGGCCATTAAGAGGATTAGTAAGGAAGCATGGGTTGTATTATGACAGGTTTCAGAGTAGCAGCCGTGTTAGTCTGTATTCGCAAAAAGAACAGGAGTACTTGTGGCACCTTAGAGACTAACAGATTTATTAGAGCATAAGCTTTCGTGGACTACAGCCCACTTCTTCGGATGCATAAATAAATAAAATGTGCTGTACACAGGGTTACACGTTGAATCCATTCGGAACTGACAGCTAGTGCAATACCAGCAACCTGTTTGTTAACCAGAATATCCTGCTATGAGCACATTCAACAAGAGCTTCATGGTCTATACTGGCTGCCTGTGGTTTTCTTTTAGGAGTTTAAGGTATTGATATTGACCTAAAAATGGCTTAAGAGTTTTCTGCCTGAAAGACTGCCTCTCTATGCTATAGTGCTGCTGTTAAATTTTGTGGAGGCACTTGAGTTAGACTCCTCTCAGTATAGGAAGTGGATTTAACCTATTATACTATCAAACAGAGATTAGATGGTAATGTCTTTTAAAGGGATGTTATCAAATTAAATATCACATTTTTCTTTTTTTTTTACTTATAATTATTATAAAAAAATTAGATGTTTTTTTCCCCCAATTTATTTCGTGCCTTTGACAGTATTTGGTGTGTAGTCAGTTTCACCTGTCACTATATGAAAGACTTGCACAAACAGTGAAAGAGAAAAGAAGTAGGGTAAATAAGGAAATGTGAATTTTTTAAAGCACAAAATTTGGCAGGGACTCCAGTAGGCGTAGAACCTGCTTTTAACTAAATTTTGAAAATGGACTAGTTTTCAAGTTAAAGGTGTTTGGATTAAAACTGGGACCTAGAGATGAAAGACAGTACCAATGAATAAATTTTTTTCTAGCGCCCTTCACTTGTGCCCCCCCTACCCTGTTCATGGAACAATTACTTTAATGAGGAAAATGTGAAATATATAAAGTTTTTTTTCTCCCTTCTCTTGTTATAGATCAGCAACTATACTTCTTACTTAGATCTTCTTACTTGTTCTTTACATATACACCTCTATCCCGATATAACGCGACCAGATATAACACGAATTCAGATATAACGCGGTAAAGCAGTGCTCCGGGGGGGCCGGGCTGCACACTCCGGTGGATCAAAGCAAATTCGATATAACGTGGTTTCACCTATAATGCGGTAAGATTTTTTGGCTCCCGAGGACAGCGTTATATTGGGGTAGAGGCAGTGATGAGCTGACAAAATTTTAACAAACGGTTCCCTATAAAAAGTTCTGATTTAAGGGATGTTTCACAGTATGTATTTTTTGTACCAATAGGGTTACCATACATACGTATTTTCCCGGGAGGCGATTTAAGACCCAAAAAGCCTGACATGTCCGCGAAAATATGGATGTATGTTAATTCTACCTAAAGTTCTTTTTTAAATAGATGGGCCTGATCTAGAAATGAGCTCCGTTTCACATGTGTGGGTCCCCGCCACTCCCTGGAGGGGCGGGGGGAGGCGGGGGATGGGTATGCACATGTGTGGGTCCCAGCTGCTCCCTGCCTCCCTCATTGAAGCAGGGTTTAGGGTTACTGCCCTGGGAACTGCAGGGCACCAGTGGACGTGGGGCCGGCTGCAGACACAGGCATGGGGCAGGGCTAGCTGGAGGCAGGGGGTGCAGGGCTGGCTGCAGTCAGGGCAGGGGGTGCGGGGCTGGCTGCGGGCAGGGCAGGGGTGTGTGGCAGGGGCTGGCTGGCTTCGGGCAGGGGGGCGGCAGGGCTGGAAACAGGCATGCAGGGCTGGCTGGCTTCGGGCAGAGGGGGGCGGCAGGGCTGCAGACAGAGGAGTGTGGGGCTGGCTGGCTTCAACAGGGGGGTGCAGTAGGGGTTGGCTAGATACAGGGCAGGGGGTGCGGCGGGGCTGGCTGCGGACAGGGGGTGCGGGGCTGGTGCGGGCAGGGCAGGGGGTGCAGCAAGGGCTGGCTGGCTTCGAGCAGGGGGGCGGCAGGGCTGGAGACAGAAGAGTTCAGGGCTGGCTGTCTTCAGGCAGGGGGGTGCAGCAGGGGTTGGGTGGAGACAGGGCAGGGGGTGTGGCAGGGCCTGGCTGCGGGCAGGGAGTGCAGGTACTCACACGGGGAGAGCAGCTCGGAACAGCCCGAGCAGCAGGACACAGCCCAGGCCCAACAGAGCAGCCGGGGACCCACCAGGCAGCAGCGGGAGCCCCAGGGCCAGAGGTCTGAGGAGCAGCAGCAGCAACAGGGCCAGGTGGCAACCCACATGGCTCCCGCAGCGCCCCCTGGCAACCGAAGGAGAAATTACATGCTTCCCGTCCAGAGCCCATCAGAGGCGCAGCACCGTCCGCCCCCACCCCCGCAGGGAAGCCGGTTAACAAGCGGTTCTAAAACTGCTTCAAAATTTAACAACCGGTTCGTGCGACCCCGTGCGAACCAGCTCCAGTTCACCACTGGGTAGAGGTGTGTGTGTGTGTGTGTATGTGTGTATATATATATATATATATATATGTGTATATATGCAAACAGAAATAAAAGTGTGTATGTATGTGGTTTTTAAAACAAAACAAAATCATATCTGTGTGCATTGGGTGTTGGATATGGTCCCTTTCCCTCATGACAGCAGTGCTGAGAGCTATTATGATGTGTATTTTCTGCAGTGTGTTGTCTCCTCATTACCTTTTTTGCAGGGGAAGGATACCACAGTGTTAGGTGGGCATAAGAACATGAATAAAACAGAATAAAGAAACAGCACTGATATCAGTTTAGCATGGCAGCAGTACTTTGTACAGATATGTGGGGAATCTCAGTCCTGCTTCAGAGAGATTTATTTTTAAGCAGGAGTTCTGAGAGATTTCTGTAGTAGGAATTGAAGTCTCCGATGGTTGCTTGTTCTCTTCCCTTGTCCTATGTCCAGGACC